CTTGGTAGATTCAGCTGCACCGGGGTATGAACTTAACATCAGGGTAGATCTTGGTTCAGCTAGCTCTTGGTAGATTCTGCTGCACCGGGGTATGAACTTAACATCAAGGTAGATCTTAGTTATTCTTAGTTCAGCTAGCTCTTGGTAGATTCAGCTGCACCGGGGTATGAACTGAACATCAAGGAAGATCTTAGTTATTCTTAGTTCAGCTAGCTCTTGGTAGATTCAGCTGTATGAACTTAACATCAGGGTAGATCTTAGTTATTCTTAGTTCAGCTAGCTCTTGGTAGATTCAGCTGCACGATCGTATGAACTTAACATCAAGGTAGATCTTAGCTATTCTTACTTCAGCTAGCTCTTGGTAGATTCAGCTGCACCCGGGTATGAACTTAACATCAGGGTAGATCTTAGTTCAGCTAGCTCTTGGTAGATTCAGCTGCACCGGGGTATGAACTTAACATCAAGGTAGATCTTAGTTATTCTTAGTTCTGCTAGCTCTTGGTAGATTCAGCTGCACCGGGGTATGAACTTAACATCAAGGTAGATCTTAGTCATTCTTAGTTCAGCTAGCTCTTGGTAGATTCAGCTGCACCAGGGTATGCACTTAACATCAAGGTGGATCTTAGTCATTCTTAGTTCAGCTAGCTCTTGGTAGATTCAGCTGCACCAGGGTATGAACTTAACATCAAGGTAGATCTTAGTTATTCTTAGTTCAGCTAGATCTTGGTAGATTCAGCTGCACCAGGGTATGCACTTAACATCAAGGTAGATCTTAGTTAATCTTAGTTCAGCTAGCTCTTGGTAGATTCAGCTGCACCAGGGTATGAACTTAACATCAAGGTAGATCTTAGTTATTCTTAGTTCAGCTAGCTCTTGGTAGATTCAGCTGCACGATCGTATGAACTTAACATCAGGGTAGATCTTAGTTATTCTTAGTTCAGCTAGCTCTTGGTAGATTCAGCTGCACGATCGTATGAACTTAACATCAAGGTAGATCTTAGCTATTTTCAGTTCAGCTAGCTCTTGGTAGATTCAGCTGCACGATCGTATGAACTTAACATCAGGGTAGATCTTAGTTCAGCTAGCTCCTGTATGGTTCTACTGGAGGAGATGGCCCAAACCGGTCTGGATCCACTGGGCCACCCGGACGATCGCTTGGGCCAGCGACCCAAGCCCCAAGGATGTCACCTTAGAGCGAACCAGTTTTGGCTTCGAGCACGAGGCTCTGGATGTTTTTGGACGAATTTAGAACATGTTTGGTGCAGGACATGACCGATACATCTGAGCAGGAGCCCAGAGAATCAGCCGAAAACATGCGGAGAATCCAAGAAACGCACAGAACGGGACATCTCTGTCAGCCTTCAAGAGTTACTCCCGTGTCACTGCCATCGACTTGAAATGTATTCTGCCATCCGAGCCGCAAATTCAATAAAACCACAAGTAAAGAACTATTTTAATATATATAGTCAAAATAGTGTCAATGCCAGTGCCATCCAGCATCATGCCATCTACAGAATAGGCGAGAGGATGACTGTCCAGCCAGTTTGCGTCAAGGAGAACCCACTGCTGGTAAACTAATGGGGTGTCTTGCAGAAAGCAGCAAATTCATGATCCTGAAGTCAGAAACTTGATACAGTATAACACGACTTGATGGAATAACATCTGTACCGTGACGTAGAAGACCCTGACAGTCGTACAACGTCCAGTATAAATATACGCACACTATGTCAGGTTTTTAGGACACCTAAAACGACAAGCGGAGTCCCTTTCAGGGTCACATCCTGACAGCGCGAAGGATCTGGCTGAAAAAGACCACCTGACCGCGCGGCCGGCCGCGGACCCAGCGTTTCAACGGAACCGTGGCTCTGGCCGATCGGAACGTTTTCTCGGGCGACGGTCTGACAGCTGACATTGGCACAAACGCGCGAGCCGCTGGAGCTTTGGCACTATGGAGCCGAGCCACATCGTGCATATGATCTTGGTTTCCCATATGTTTTCCTGTCCTGTCGTGAGGGTCAGAACCGTGGCCAATCCAAGGCCTGACTAAACCAGGCAACTTAGAGAGTCCCATTTCACCTTACACTCTGAATATAATATATATATATATATTATATATTAGTTATATATATATTTATATACAGTTGCTTACCTGCTATGTGGTAGGCAACAATGAATCACCTCCGGTTCGAGGATCCCGATCGCTGCTTGCATCTCACACATCCTCACACGCTTCTGCAACTTCATGCCGTAAAGCACCACGAAAGCTCTGTAAAACACCAAAGTTCCATGCACAGCGCGCGATCCCAAAGCCGGGCTTCAGCCTTGGGCTTGCTATCTTCCCATCCTTGGGAACTGAGGCCGTCTCAGGAGCTAAGGATAGCTAAGGGCACCAGAATTGCGAGCTGATCCATATGAATCCTGGATGCAAAGGATCTCATCTAGTGGCTGAAGCTGCATGGACCTGCGAAATAATCCCTAGTCTAGATTTCTCTAGTCCCTCTCAACCCCTGCTTGTGTGGTCAATCACCCGCCTTCAAGAGAGCGCACCCACTGGAGAGACATGAACAATTTGCTGAGCCAGCGACGAATCACGTACTGATTTCAACTGCCCCCCTTCCTTGTTCTACCCTTGTGTCTTCAAAGGAATCCATTTCCAAATTACAAGTTGCAAGTCAGTGTGTCCTCCCTATCCCATGGATTTTGAAACACCTTCTAGATGTCTGTTTCAAACAAAAGCTTCGTGACGGAACCCAGAAAGCCCTCTTTCAGTTCTCAGCTCTTTTTGGGATTCGGATGCCGAAGACGACCTCCTCGAATACTAGGGCATCTCAAGCGTTGTTTCGCCCCAAGGCAGCAAGAAGAGCAATGATTTACAGAGTCAAATGTCGTCAAATCTCAACATTTTATAACATTTTTTGACATGAAGTCTATTCATGGCTGCTTTGTGGAAGGGTCCCTCCTCTTTCGTTGTCATTGGTGGACATTTGGCAGGCACACCATCCCTTTTCCATCCCCCCGTCAGTTGACCCCAGTACTCCACAAATAACCAGGTTTTCTATACATTCTATGGCTCTATGACTCTATGGAATCTATAATGCCGCACACGTGCTACAATTAGGAGTCTTTGCAAGGCTTGGCTGGCTACATTCAAGCTCCTCCCCTTCTCAGCCTCTGTGGCGAATACATGTGGAATGGCCCCGGCACGGTGCGTGTGTCAAGTGGAGAAGCACACAGCTCAGAATTGGTGAACTTCGAATCTCCAAACGCCCGTAGCACAGTCGTAGTCGATGAAGCGGCAGGCTGTATTCTCCTCCGTCATCTTCTTGATCTTTTGCTTGTACTCCTGATGATGTTGATATCCGATGGAATGGATCACACCTCACAAACCTATATCAAACATATATATGGTTTCCACATGTTTCCACCAAGTATTGGCCCTGCTGATTGGAGACTCGAATCCCAAGTTCCGACCATGCACTTTGCCATGTCATCCGCGCTCCTCTGCCTCTTCCGGAGTGTCCACCGGTCCGCCCGGAGGGAAGCACTTGTACATGGTCACCGTGGCCCGCTTGTTGAGCCCACGGCCGGGCGGAGGCTTCCGGGAGACCTCGGGGTACACCAGGACGTAGCCACGCTTCAGCAGGACATCCCGAGATAAGTCCTCCGAACCGGGTCAGAGCGGAGGTCGCCGTGCGGCGCGGCCAAGGTCGGTTGTTGCCGCAGTCCGGACGTATAGGGGCCTATATCTAATTACATCCTGTATGCACCCACCACTGGGTCCTGCAAGGTCTCTCAATGGTGGTCACCAGCAACCCATGTCATGTCCTGCAGTCATGCTTTGTCTCTGACCTGACCGCGAATAACCTTTCATGGTAGTCAGTGAGCACAGTGGAGTCCATGACTTCTGCTGTCAATGGAGTTGTTGTTGTTTCTTGTTTTTCCCTCTGCGCACTATATGGGATATGGATTAGCATGGATTAACTACCTTTCTCATACGGATACATATCTGCCAATCAAAATGAATATCCCAACTGGAGGGAAAATGTGGACACGCAATCAACTTCCCTGAAGG